TTTGCCGGATCCGCCATATTGACGAGGACGGGTATCCGCGGCTGCGGACGCTAGTCTCCGCCGCCGCCGGAGCCGCAACCCCTCTGCACCCGGCCCCGTTAGGGCCTCTGCCGCGCCGAGCCCCTCCCCGCCTTGCACAACTCCCGGGCCTCGCGGGAGCCTGCCGCCGCCGCCTCTCTCTCACGGGAGGCGGCCGCCTTAGCGCCCGGTGCTCGGGTCGGCGCCGGGAGTGAGGAGCGAGCTGCTGCAAAGCGACCAGGCCCGGAGCGGGGACAGAGGCGGCGACTAGGGGAAGGTGAAGCCGTCGCTGCAGGAGGAGGAGCTGGAGGAGGTGACGCAGGAGAAACGCACCGCCCGGAGCCGTCTGAGCTCAGCGAGAGCCCCAGTCTGAGGGGAGAAGGGGGAAGAGGGCCGTCGCCGGCCGAGGAGGAGGAGGAGGAGGAGGCGGGCGCGGCGAGGAGCGAGTTCCGGCGCCGGTGTGCAGCCTCTTCGTTGAGACGCCCGGAGCCCGGCAGCCGCAGCCTTTCGATACACTTTGTTGCCCGTCACCCCGGCCTGGGATGCACCCAGGGTAGGTCTTGTCCCGGGACCGAGCCCCACCGTCGCCTGCTGCCTCCCGCCTCCGCGTGCCCTGGTTCTGAGAAGACGTCTGTGTCGTGCGGTGAGTGGCCAGCTGCGCCGGGGCGACGCGCCTTCCCGGGGCCAACAGCTGGAAGTGGGTGAGGGGAGGAGGGCGAGGGGGGGTGTGCGTGTGTGCGAGCTTTTTCCCTAGACGGCTGCCGGGCGGGCCGGGGCTTCCCGGTTCCCCCTCCTCCGGCCCGGGCTGGGCGGGCGCGCGGGCCGGTGTTGGGTGCGGAGCCGGTGTCCCGAGAGCGTGTCTGTGTGTTTTGGACTGTAAGGGAAAATGGCTGACGGCTCCGTCCCTCCCCCTCCTCCCCCTTCCCGTCCTGTCTGGGGCCGTGTAGGAGGATGGAGTCTCCGGGCGTGGCGGGCAGCCCCCCCCACTGCCGTCCGCACCAGGGGTCCGGGTCCGTATTGGGGGCTAACAGCCCCTGGCCCGGCCGCCGCTTTCCTACCCCGTCTGGTTCCACTTGACACCAAACGCCATTACTGAGGTGGAGTGATTTGGAGCCGGGGAGCTAGGCCTCGGCTACGCCTGGCTATCAGGCCTGACGACTTGTCCGCCTCCCCCCACCCTCCCGCGATAACCCGCAGTTTCTTCCCTGCCCTGGGCTCCCGTAGTCCGAGCTGGGTTATCGGCCTCCTACACCTCCTTCGCCTCCCTTAGTTTGCAGGGGGCCAAAGCCTTGAAAGGGGTTTTTGAATGCAGAAATCGCTTCCAAGCTATCTTGGACCTATTACCTTTGTATTTTTAACTGTTTCTCCAAAAAATAATAGCATATGCGAGTTTGTCAGTGATCAGATCTTCAGATTCTTGTGACGTGAGGCTTCAGGTTGGATAAATGGCTGATTTTTCATTCATTGTGAAATATAAGAGTTGTAGAGCAGGTGTATAGATGGCTTCTTAAATTATTTGTATGGGTTTCTGTAGCGACTAGAACTTCCACGAGGATTTGCAAAATTTCTAGTAGAACCTGCTTAAATTAAGCGTGTTATTTTTTGGAAGTTCCATAGTTATAACGTTAATTGAATTTCCACGGCGCAGTTTACAGCTGTGTATAATTGCTTCAGATTGTCTTTGAATTTAAATAAGTTGTAGGCATAGGTTAAATATTCATACTTTATTTTTCGGGGAGAGAAGTATTTGTACCGTTCTTTTACCTGGAAACCTACGAGTCCCTAAATTTACGTAACATTTGTATACTTTCACTTTTGAGGAAGAATAATTTGGGATGCATTGATTAGGAAACTTTCCGACAAGTACTTAACCCTCTCGGAGCTCATTATCTACCCTTAGGTAAGAACTTCTTAAACATAACTAGCTTGGCTGGTTTAGTGAACTTGAACTTAAAAATAGAGACTACAAATTCTCCTTTAGATCTCGCTGGTCTTTTAATTCGCTGGGCTGCCATTTTGGTTTCAGCAGATGCCTTCAAATTCTTGAAAAATTATGTATTAAATGTACAAAAGTGTGAACATTCATTTTCTCAATTTTTAAACTCATGTGCTTTGCCATACATCTAACTTTAACCCTTTAAACTTTATCGTTCCAGCGTTTGGGTGGAGTGAAAGCTTGAAGTATTTGAAATTGGTTGTTCCACAGGTGAACTCAAAATGTCTCTGGTGTTTTACTGTTTTGTTTTCTCTAATTTAAAAATAGGACGTTTGGACTATATGAATTCTATCCCTTTTCTTGTATTTTTTGCATGAACATGTAACTTGTAATTCTGGTTATCAACGTTCTCATGTTTCTTTTGTTTGCTGACCTTGGTAGTTTCTGAGAGAGGATTTCTGGAGGGAGTAATGGCAGGAACAGTACATTTGAGAATGTAAGTTACTTCAGGAAGGAACTTTGAAGGGCAGATTTTACCTTTGACCAGGTTATTGGGGTCTCTGGTGCTCACAGTTTTTTTTTTTTTTTTTTTTTTTTTGAGACCAGTCTTGCATTGTCGCCCAGGCTGGAGTGCAGTGGTGTGATCTCGGCTCACTGCAACCTCCGCCTCCAGGGTTCATGCGAATCTCCTGCCTCAGCCTCTCGAGTAGCTGAGATTACGCCCGGCTAATTTTTTGTATTTTTAGTAGTGACGGGTTTCACCGTGTTATCCAGGATGGCCTCGATCTCCTGATTTCGTGATCCGCCTGCCTTGGCCTCCCAGCTCTCATATTTTATCTATGGAATGCTCAAGTAGGATTTATTTCTTCGAGTCCTGAAGTACGTTTTTTAATATCTTAAGATTTGAGATTTCTTGGCTATCTTCTCAGATTTTTCTTTGACATAGTATTAATGTAGCTTATGGTTTTGAAATGGGTGTTTGTCATGAATTTGCCAGTCATCCAGTTCTTGATTAGTTGGTCCCACAAGAAGCGTTCTTTGAGCTTATTTATATTTCATAAGATCAATTTCTAACGTTCAGTTTAAAAATTTTAATATTGAAACCAATCTTTGTTTAAAACAGGTTTAAGAAAGTTATTTGAAATATTTAGTGGTGTGTGTTAATGGGTTAGACGCCTTGTAAGTCTTTTGGGCAATGGAGGGGGGTGTCTTATCCTGAGATTGCGTTAGTTGATTTTTATTCTAAAAGAATGTATTACTTTTTACGGTAAGCCTGCATTATGTTTTTCCTCTTGTAGGTGTGTTTTCTGAGCCTTGAAATGTTTTCCTTTTTTTTCAAAAAGGGAAGAATGGGATTTTAGTTTTCATTTGGTTCTTTTAGGAGCTGTAGTTTTGAAAGCCATCCTGTTTATTGCTAAGTTCTTGTATTTTAACATAGAGTCTTAATGTTAACATTTGGGAAAAAGTTAATACATTGGACCTCAACCCTGACTGGACATGAGAATCACTTGGTGGGGTTTAAGAAAAAAAACAGCAAACCCCAAAACTGATCCCTGGGTCCCACCCCCAGAAACTGATTAATTGATCTGATACGGGGCCTAGGCAGAGGTATATTTTAAAAGCATTGTGGATGATTCTTACTTGCATTCGGAGTTGAAAACCACTGGGCTATTGTTTTTATCATGTTGTTAGAAATTCCAAGTGGATAAATCAGAAAATGGATTTTTTTCTCAATTTTTTTAGTTATTAGCATGATTATCATTTGAGTGTTAATTATCTGTCAGCACTGTTAAGCGGTTTCCATTTATTACCTTATGGAGATGGGTCTGAGATCTGTCAGGTTCAACCAGTGGTGCTTCGACTACTGTGCTGTTAGTGAAATGACACTGATTGCTATTTTTAAAAAAGCATTTAGAGCTTTTGTTTCTTGTACCAGAGTAGGTTTAGATTTAGTTTAGTTTTTAAGACTATCAAAATAGTCTCCAGTTTGATAAATATCTTGGTCGTCCAAGGGAGATGTTAAAAGCTACGTGGCAGATAGGTTTCTCCCCTTCCATATATCTTCCAGCATGCTCAGGGTGGTATTTTAGTTGGTGGGTTTATGAGAAAATATTAGGCAACTTAACATTCCTAAAAGGTGTAGAGACTACAAGTTTGTCTCCTAGTAATTTATTTAAATCATCCCATAAATGACCATTTGGTATCACATGAAATTCTGCTGTCTCAGTTTGAGAATTTAAGAGTTTTATTTGTTTTGAGTTTTGTATTGTTTTGGCATTGATTTATAATTGATTTATGGAACAAATATAATAACAACAGACATTTATTTGGTGTTTCTGTCTCTTAATCTCCTTGGTCCATTGGACTAAGTTGTAATGGTGGGGAGATGGCAGCAGGAAAGCCTATAGGAGTTCAGGATCTATGAAGTTTTTTTTTTTTTTTTTTTTAAGGCAGATTCTTGCTCAGTCACCCAGGCTCGAGTGGTCACGGTTCACTGCAGCCTTAATCTCTCCTGGACTCAAGTGATCCTCTCACCTCAGCCTCCCGAGTAGCTGGGTCTACAGGCGCTTGCCACTATGCCTGGCTATTTTTTTTGTGTGTGTGGTTTTTTTTTATCTTTATAGAGATGGGGTTTTGCCACATTGCTCAAGCTGGTCTTAAAACTCCTGGGCTCAAGCAATCCGCCCACCTGGGCCTCCCAAAGTGTTAGGATTCCAGGTGTGAGACACTGTGCCTGGCTCTATGAGCATTCTTAGTGTGACACAAGATTCCTCAAAGATCTTTCTGTTAAATTATATCATAGAAAATGGGACTCTAGTGATCATGAAAGAAATTGATGTAATTACTATAAGGAAGAAAGAAACTTCTAACACTTATCTATATTGGGCATTGAATTTATCAATTAGCTACTGTGGATTATAAAGTGATGACCATTGTAATATACTTTTAAGGAGTAACTTGTGAAAAAGCATATTGTTAGGATGAGATCGCTTACCTAAAATTTATTCTTCAAACATACCCATGCTAAATCTTGGTGGCATCAGCATATGTATACACACATACCTTATTTGGCAGCAAATGGGTTTTCAATTTTATTCTCAGTCACTGCCTAACAAGGATTTTCTACCGCCTCTGTATATCAATCATCTGTGGAACTTTTTCAAAATATATTTGCTCAATAGGTGAGTCTTATGTGTAACCAGGGTTTTTTTTTTTTTTTTTTGCAATCCCTTTTAGGGAAAGGGGAGATACGAGACCCTTTGCATGTCTTAGGCAGCAGTACTCTTGCTTGAGTTTAGTTAGTCACACAGTCAAAATAACAGACTGAAACAACATGTAGTGAAAAGCTCAAACACTAGAAGAGACGGATTCCACACTCATGTAATATAACTAGTATATGTGCACCTATATATCAAATTTATTTTCACTTTGCAACTTCTTGATATGGTTCCAGCTTTACTATAAATATTAATATCTGTTAAGACATTAGTTTCCTTTTTACCATTCAACAAATACTTATTGGGCATCTGCTAGGTACTGTTGTAGAGATTACTATTGTCTAGAAGCTAACATTGTATGAAGTGAGGTGGGCTGGACTAGCTGATCTCTAAAGTCCTTAGCGCTAATTTTCTGGCATTCTTTTATGTACCTTATAGGAGAGATTGGATTAAGTTGTTATTTTTAAAAAACCTCATTATGGTATATGC